ATAATGGACAAACTTCCAATTAATGAAAATGGAAAGATTGACCGTAAACAATTACCAAAAATTGAACGTGGTCATTCATCATTTCCTTTATCTGAAACAACATTATCAATGATTACTACTACACCAATAGAAGAAAAAATAAAAGAGATATTTATTGAAGCATTTCATTTAAATTCTACTACAAATATTAACTTAGATGCTTCATTTGGTACATTAGGTGGTACATCAATGGATGCAATGAAAGCTGTAACATTAATACGACAGCAATTATATCCACAAATTGAAATCGGTCTCTTATATTCTAATCCATCAATTCGTCAATTAGCTAAAGTATTAGAACCAAAGATTTTTAAAAATTTTCAACATACAGTGAATGAATCTATTTCTATTGATAATAATAATAATGATAATCGTCCTAAACCATCATTGTTAATAGAAACATTAGGTATAATTCTATTAGTTTATCATTATTTATTTTCAATATGGACAACAATGAAATTCGTTGAATATATTGAACCTTACAATACAATGATTAATATAACACTGTATATAATATTAATACCTTGTATACAATTATTTCATTATATCATTTGGAAACATTTATTATTTCCATATGGAATGAAATGTGATACGAAAACTCAACTATATTCTTTTAAATACTATTCTTGGTGGTTTTTAAATCGTCTATGGATATTAAATTCAAAACAATTAAATATTTTATTAGGAACATTTTTGTATAACTATTACTTACGTATGTGTGGTGCTCAAATAGGAAAAAATGTTCATATTTATACAACTTTAATTGATGCACCAGATCTATTAGAAATAAAAGATTCAACATTTATTTCTACTGATGTTCTACTAAATAGTTTATCTTATCAAAATACAACATATTCACTAAATTCAATAAGAATTGGTTCTAATTGCAATATTGGTTTTCAAAGTGTTCTTTATAATGGCGTCTACATAGAAGACAATGTTTCAATTAAATCAATGTCAAGTATTACTGGTCGTGTTGTTATGTCATCGAATGATGAAAATGAACAATTATTGTCAAATAATCTAACTTGTTCATTTTTACAACGTTTCTGTCAATTAATATGTGTAGCAATCATTGTATATTTGCATAGTATTGCTATTGTAATAACCTATTTTGTTTATGTTAAATTATTTTATTCGACATATTTTTGTATAAGTATTCCAATATGTTGGATACTATGGTCATTTTTGTGTCTATTTATTACATTATTTTTATTAAAATTTATTATTGGTAATACTCGACCCGGATATTATGCTTTAAATTCATGGTATTATATACATAAAATATGGTTAAGACAATTAATTGTGTCAAGTTTTGACTATTCATTTACAATTTTAGGTGGTTATCATTGTTGGTTTCCTATTCTT